AGAAATAAAATGATAGTAGTATGATAGTCAGCCCAYGCGATTCTGGGATTTGTGAGTATGTGTAACTAATACCAGTATCTGGCTTATAGTGGGATATAGTTTGATATAGTGGGAAACAAGCTGGCATTCAGAGGTCTGAGAATCTTGGGAGATTTTGAAAAGATACAGCTTTGATTTATAAAAAGCTTGAACTTTTTAAAGACCTTTTCAAAATGGAAATAAAAAACTCTCAGCTGATTAATTAGTCCTACTTTATATTTAAAATTCTTCCTGAATGATTTTTAAAATTGACTTTTACTTGATTAAATAGCAGTCTTTGATTTTGAGGTATTTGTGGCTCTGATAATGGCCTACTTAATGGCAGCTCTGCATAAATACTTCTGCTAGAAATAATGAGCTTAGCCGAGATGCTGAAGTTTGCATCTTCCTTACCCATACTCTCCTCGCTCACAACCACAGGACACATCATTCTGTTTATACACTAGATTGTTAGCAAAAGCATTCTTATTCTAGATATTCAGTTATAGGGCATAGGAAACACTATTACATTTGTTTTGTTTTGTTTTTTTCTACTTCCACATTGTCCAATTTATGGAGGACATTAAAAAAAAAAAGAAAATTTAAATAAGCATTCTCCTCAGTAGAAAAGAAAAAAAGAAAAAATCTCTATAGGTGCTAGTAGTGGCTCTAATAAACTGCCTTTTCTTTGGGTTATTTCTTTTGAATTTTCCACTGATAAGACTGTATCTGCTTGTCGAACTGTAGCGCTCATTTTGCAAAAGCATTTCTGCATCTTTCTGATCTTGAAAATTAGAAATTTTATACCACCCATCTCCTTTGGAACCACAGAAATGTTTTGGGCAGACAGTTTTTAGAGTCGTTAGGATTTTCATACTGATAATGCATTAACAATATTAACAATGTATTTTTCTAAAAAGTAATCATCACCTATCATACCTTTACTTGTAAATCCAATYAATTTTGAAAAGGCCTCTTTTGAGCTATGATTTGTGTATCCATGGAAGCATAGTAGCAAATAGAGTAGCAAAAGACTATTTTTCAAACACTGTATGAGAAACTTCATGGAAAACCATGGTAGYTGAAAAAGAGAATCTTTCATAGTGTTATGATCTGCAGCACTAAGAAGTCTGAATTTGTGGAACTGAAAAGTGACTGGAGAAGCAGGATGGCTGGTTAAGTGTCACATGAAAAACTTTTTATTCTTCATAGAAATTGTTTCCATATTGTTAATTACTAGAGCACATACCAGAGCTGTTAGACTGTAGTAGGATAATTATATTTCTACAGTTTTGCTGATATACCCTTTTGCATCAACATTGAAAAGCAGAATAAAAATCACTATTTCCTGTCACATCTATCATGCAACAAAGTCTTTGTTCCCAAGCTTTGTATTGACAGCGTGATTGTACTACAGCATGGGCATGGTTTTGTCCCCAGCTGCCCACCCTGTGTACGCGAACCTTGTAAAGTCACTGAGATCTGATGGTTCCCCAGCGGTTTTGTCCTGAGAAAGACAGTTGGTGGTTTCGGTTCASTTCTCAAGAGGTCACAGCATCCTCAAAATAGGTAGAGTATGTGAACAGTTAGCAAGTAAAAACTCTGAATGAATGTTAAGGATGTACAGGATGCGGAGACTGTTAYAGCAATTCAAACACTCATTTCAGGTTAATTACTGGGCATATTTTTCAGTGATACTGCCTTGGTATAGTCTAATGGAGCCACAGAGGGCTTCAAGGGAGAGGGATTAGCAAGGTATTAAGCTTTTTCARCCATTAACTAAAATATATTTACCCCCTACCTAAAAAACAAACAACCCCCCCTTTTCTTTACAGTGTAAATAAACCTAAACATCACAGCTTGCAGATAAGAATAGACTTATCTTCCTGTTTTTTAAATTCTGTGATCTGTTACAAGATGAGGTCTGGTTATTGAGTGTTAAATCAAACCACTAAATTTCCATGTTTGTATGAGAATCAGTTCATAGCTTTTAGTACTGGGTATTGTTTTGTCTATTCTCCCAACTAGCCTATTGCAGTGGCCCACCCTACACAGAAGCTGTGACTATTTAAAGTTTGATTTCATTGGTATCATACAGAAGTACTGTTATTTTCCCTGCTCGAGCAGAGGGGTTGGACTAGATGATCTGAGATCCCTTCCAGCCTCAACCATTCTGCGATTCTGTTGCCTTATGTTGGCGGATGATTGTCAGAACTTACCAGCCAGGGAAAACTGCTTTGCCCATTCAATGCTTGTTCATTTATGGTTTYTGCAACCATAAAGCAAAGGATTAAAGTTCACTAGTTCCTATTCATGACTAATCCTGTGAAGAAGCTGTTGTGATGAACTGCRTAAACATTGAGCTGGCATATTCTGTAGAAGCTACAGCCTGAGAAATTTGTTTTTAGTCTTTTAGATTTTTATGGCTGAGTTCATTGCATGAAGGGGTGTTTTGCATTCTCAAGAGATTTATGATGCATTTTTTTTCTATATTTCTCTCACAAGCTGAACCACCTCAACATTAGCCTCTATAGTGTGATGTGACCAGGACACTCAGAAATGCAGCTTTTCATTTAGGCTAAAAAGGGGGCAAAATTTGTACCTAAAATACCAATCTGGACTTGTAAGGATATTCAGGTGTGTAAAAAAGCAAACTGGCAGTGCAGTTAGTTTAATTCTCAAGACCTTCATGGTTCTTTATTCATGAAATCGCTGCATAGCTTGATACCTAGATATCTTTACCACTTGAATGATATAAGCATCTCAATCTCTTGTGGTTTTGGCACTGCACATTGCAGTACTGAAATACATGGCAGTTAAGAGCACCAAAAAGATGCTGAAAATCTGTCCTCAGGAACACTGGTCCTAACATACCTCCAGTGAAGCACATCAGTCTGTTTAAGAGTTCCTGGTTCTCACAGCAGGTGCCCTTCTACATTCTTATCTGTCTAAATAAGTTTGTCAACTTGTCTTTCAGTTATATTGCAATAAGAGAAACTTGGTGCAGAAACAGGCGTGCCAGAAATTTTTATTTTGCTTCCAACTGCTTAAACATTAACATTACTCTGACAAGGGTTTAAAAAAAGAATTTTGAGCATTGGAATGCAAATTAATGTATCAAGCAATTAAAGTCAATTAAAATGGGATACAGTGTAATTAGAAACAGTTGTGTTCACATTTATATGCAGAGAAGCTTGGTGCATTGAAAGGAAAGTAAACAATTCAGGAAAGTTTTTAATGCCTACAGATGTGATGATAATAATAATGGCATTTGGTGTCTAAAGCATCCCATCCTTCACCTCAGGAGCTCTTGGGAAGCATGATAAATTGAGCATGGCAATTGATGACCTGGGCACAACGGGATTAAGTTGTTTAGTGTCCTGCGGGACTTGGACATCTAAACGTGGTGGCCTTCTCTGCCCTCTGGGAACACAGTGTACTTCATTACCTGCTGCAGCAAAAGAGGCTTGCAATTCCAGCACTCTTGTAGCTTTATAAATGCTATCAGTGACAAAATACTAATAGCAATGTTAGCTGGCTCACAGGGAAAGCCTATCTTTCCCTCACACTGCTTTCCTACTATTTCTCCTCTTGTCATTGTTCTGGATAACAGTTTTAGTAGTTCTTGCCAGAAATGTCGAGCCAATTTTTTCCTTATTTACAATCCCTTTGCACCTGGCAGCCAGAGCGGGAGAGTCCTCTTTCTTGTAATGCTGTGGCACATCATAAAAAATCATAAAAACTGCTGAGAGTTGCGGTTCTGGTCCTGTGATAAGCTGTGGATGGACTACAAAAGGTATTCTGAAAAAGAAGATGCAAAATTCAGCTGGTTTATAGCTCTGTGAGGCTGGCTGCTGTGGGAGTGCAGGTTATCAGGCAAGAGCAACTTTCACCTTTTCTGTCATGGGTGTGCTTCTACTCTTCCTTTTCCTTRATGGGGCTGAACGAAGAAATGTACCCAAAAGAACTTGGGAATYATATATGCTTCTATAAAAATTTTTATACACTCATTTACAAGGGTTCAAGGCAGTGGGAGGATGCTCAGGGTAGCAGAGACTAAAAACCAATTAAGGAAGCGTGATCCAACAAAATCTCATTCTTTAACTTGCATTGCACGCAGGTGCAGCAGCTTCCATGTCATGATKTGTGTGACTGCTGACTTTCTTTATTATTAAATGAACAGCTATTCATTTGAAGGAAGTGGAAAAAAAACCTGGCAATGAATTAAATGCAGAAACATGAAAACTAGCCACTGGTTCATCTATTCTCTCCATGCAGCATACGATTGTAAGACTCAGAGCAGCACCATGTCTGTTCCAGGAACTTCCTCTCACTTCTCATTAAAATGAGAACCTATTTTTATCTGGTATCTTCCTGCAGAGAACAGTCTGTTTGGACATAGTCTGTTGGACCAGTTAGCTGCAGTGTGCCTTTCCACTAATAGTGAATAATAATAAACAGAAGCACAGGGATCAAGCTTTCCTTTTTGCATTTTTATTGACTGGTGAATTAACCAGTTAAGACTTCAGAGATCCATAGGAATATTGTGGTCATTTCCAATATCTGGAAAAATTGGGTCTTACATTTGGTTGCACATGTTGTATAATGCATATGATGGTATATGAATTGCTTGCTGTTATGAGTAAATGCTACTGTATCTGTGTAATACTGCTATTGTGGACTGCTGTTCTAGAGTACTATCTTCTTAAATGTAACCTAAAGGGAGTAAGTAATACCTGAAGAGAACTTCCCAGTGTCTCAGTAAGAAAGTATTGATCTTTCCTGAATACCTAAGTGGCTTAGAAGGGAATATGCTTGGGGGAAAAATATCCATAGCCAGGAGGACATCAAAAGCACTCCAGATGTTCTTTAAAGCCCCAGGTAAGAGTTATATGTTATAAACAAATAGAAAAAAAAATGTGTGAGTTTTTTTTGTTGATTTAGAAGGAAATAGTTTTCTAATATGCATTTCTTCTTGTCAGGTTGTATACGTAACAGCCACATTCCCTTATATCATGCTGATGATTCTTCTGATTCGTGGAGTAACGTTACCAGGGGCATCTGAGGGGATAAAATTCTACCTGTACCCTGACCTTTCTCGACTGTCTGACCCCCAGGTAGGTCCATACTTATTGCTGACTGGCAAAAGCTCCGAAGTTCTCGCTCTTATTTTTTTTTTTTCTTTTAAAAATTTGAATACACATACTTGCTAGATATTTGCTCATTATTAAGGATTTGGTGTTTCAGACAGAGCTTTAAAACCATCACTGTTTGCAGTTGTTGGAGTGTCTTTAAAAGAGAAGTGCCCTGGCTTATAAACCTGAATTTTCATAGGTGCTTGGCGTGTGTGTTTAGCTCCTACCACTGAGGAACAAGTGCATTGCCACTATTTTCAGCAGGATCAAATTTAATGGAGACTTTCCCATTTTGAAATAGTACTTTTCTGTGCACATTGCAAATCTAAAACTCAGCCAAGAGTAGAAGAGAAATTTGTTGTTCTTGAAGCAAAGATTTCCAACCATGAAAGTAGCCATGAAATACTAAAACTAATAACTGTGGTGGTTCTTTTTAGTTATTTCAGGAATAGTTGAACATGTAAATATTGGTTTGAGTTGATTCTTGAGTGACGGGTTAGTACAGTAAAATAATTATTATATATTGCTTCTCTGAAATCAAAGAGGCAAAACAGCACAAACTCCATGGAGTTGCATATAGCATTTTACTTACCTGGTTCAGTAATGTGAAAGATACTAGAGAGTGTTACTTCTAAGGTAGCTATGATATTAAATGGATCATAGGATGGAGATTAAAAATTTGGGAATACTTGTGTAAATTAATTCTTAAGTGCTCACCTAGACCTACCAAGTGGTAAAACACATCTGCAAAACTACTTCTTGCCTAAGACAGTACAGACACTGTTCAGGTCATTTTTTTGAAGCTTCTGAAAGCACTGACCTTAGGTCACCTTAAAGAACTAATATTTCTACAGAAAATAAAAAAAAAAAAAGAAAAAAAAAGAAAAAAGAAAAAAGAAAACAAATTTTAAATACTGGAAATTTTGGAAGAAAATTGAATGATGTTGCTATCTTTGAGCTTAATGGTATGTTCAATGTTCACCATCCATCTCTTCCCAATTTTTGCTGTTAGTCTGCCTGCAGTGCTGGGGGCTGGAAGACCTGTGGCATTAGGTCTGTGAAACGGTACAACTTCCTAAGCACTCGGGTTAGTTAAGGTTGCTTAGCGCTATCTCCAGGTCACTTGAGAAGTTAACAGAGYAGCAGGGAAAGCTGGTAGGATTACATTGCTCAGTCTAGACTAGTGTTTTATTTTGCCTCATGTTTCCGACAAATAGTTACCCACCACCTTAATAAAAAGTGCCCACTGGGCTCTCTTTTCTTGTTCTGCATTACGCTGATTCCTCCTAATGCTGAATTCCTCCACTTGCAACCTCTCCGGTTCTAATGTGACCAGGAGGGAGGCTTCCTGCCTGAACCTCAGTCCTTCATTTGTCCCGTGATGTGCCTGCTAAAAGGATTTGGKCCTGTATGGGGATTTTCCACATGCCACTGACACCCCTGCTTCTGTTTGCTATTAAGGGAGGGCATGCAAGTTTAAGCAACATTGTCAGGTTACAAGAAGGGTTTATATGCTTATTTACTGCTTCCGTTTGTAAAGAAATACGTTGTTGCCATGACAATCTCCAAAGCACACGGTATTATTCAAAACAGTCTTTAAAGTACAAAGCACTTAAAAGGCATGTGTGGATGTATCTCTGTGTCCCCCACACAGCTCAGGCGATATTAGAATGTCTTTTGGGAAATGCTGTGCTTTAACAAGTGAACTTTTCATTCTATTTGAATATGGCTTCAGCTGACACATTTCTGTGCATCAGCCTTCACTATTGTCAAGATCTTTTTCTTTAGGAAAGAAGCTGAAATGGGAAATAATAGAGACTAATTATAGTATAGGTGATAAGATGGTTTTTGAGATTGAAAAAATGCTATTTTATTGAAGTCGGACAATTTCATTGAGACAGATCAATTAAGGCAGAGTTCTTTAAGAAATTTTTCAGTTAGCAGTGAGTTATAGTCATTTCTGAAGAAAGGAAATAAGTTTCACTCAGTCTTAAAACTAGAACCTGACACAACTCATTTTACAAAAAAAGTGTAAAGTAGAATTGGTTCATTCTATCGAAACTTTTATTGCTAATAGGACAGAGATACAGACATTTACAATATTATGGAAATGTAGGATTTAATAATGTTCAAAAAAAAATATGCACCACAAAAACATTCCTGAATTCCTTCTAGAGGCCTTTGCAAAGTGGCAAATAGAAGACAGGTGAACTGACGTTGACATCTGTKCTCCCAGTTATCTTTAGTCTTGTTTATTTGGTTTTGTTCCATAATATCAAAGCATAATGCAAGTGTGCTAGCAGAAGCTGTTTTGCTCTTCAGCTGGAGGCCTGTTTGAATAATGCTCCAAGGAGACTGCTGCGTGTCTGTATTAGGAGAGCAGTATTTGAACCACTGTGCCAACTATGTTTACTGTGGGTTAAATAAATTAAGTTTCTCTTCAAGGCTCACTTTAGTTTGAAGTTCTTGCAGCTTTTGTCTTTGTGCAATTTGCATTCCATGGTCTGTTACAGCTTTCTAAGCAACTATTCATCTGTCTTTTCAGCTCTTCGTAGCTTGCAAGGGCTGTGTTCTCTATTTAATTTTTATATTCCATCTCTTCTGCAAACTGGATCCTCTGGATCGGAAAATGCCATCTTTTGTGTTGTATATCTGCAGCTCATACCAAACACTTCTCATCGTGATAGTGGAGTATTATATTTAAACTTCAGAAATGCCTCTGTTTCAATAGCAGTAAGGCCGCTATAGCCTTCATGCTCAAATTGCTCTGATACATGTGTGTCTATTCCTACCCAGAAGATGAGGGTGCCATTAGTATCCCAAATATGGATTCTTTCCTGAGAAATTTCCCCTCTCTCCTCAAAAAAAACCAACCAAACAAACAAAAAAACCAACAAAAAAAACCCCCACCCCACACAACCAAAAACAACAAACTTTTTACAAAGTTAAAGATGATTCGTAAGCTTTTTGTTTGCAACTCTGACTCAGAATATTGTTCTGGCTGTCCCTCTGCAAATCCCAGTCTCTGACAGTGTGACTGTGTTTATATGTAGCACTCAGTGCCTTTTTGGAAAGTCCTATTGCTATCACAGAGACATTTGGCTCTCTAAAATGGGGTTTTCCAAACATGTACACTGAAAGGGCTGAGATCTCGGATTGAGGGACTGGGAAACYTGGAAAAAAACCTCAGGCCTAGATAAGGCTGACCGTACAAAGATGACTCCTTTTCTCTCACATTGCTTCCACCTCAAAAAATTTCTTTCTGCTCTGTGTTTACAGAGAAAACATTTAGTGTGTTCCATCTACAGTTTAAAAAAAAATACTTTTAATAGAAGTGCATTTAGAATACACACACATTAAAAATGCTACTTTTCCTTGAAAATTTTAATTAACTTTTTCCGGTTAAGGAAAAAGTAGGTCAAGGGAGGTGATTGCAGGTCAAGGGAGGTGATTCTGCCCCTCTACTCTGCTTTGGTGAGGCCRCACCTGGAGTGCTGTGTGCAGTTCTGGGCTCCCCAGTATAAGAGGGACGTGGAGCTTCTGGAGAGGGTCCAGAGAAGAGCAACCAGGATGATTAAGGGAATGGAACATCTCTCGTACAAAGAGAGGCTGAGTGAGCTGGGCCTSTTTTCTCTGGAGAAGAGAAGGCTCAGAAGGCATCTGATTAATGYGTATAAGTTCAGGAAGGGAGAATGCAGGGAGGAAGGGGACAGGCTGTTTTCACTGGTGGCCAGCGATAGGACGAGGGGTAATGGCCATAAGCTGGAGCACAGGAAGTTCCATCTCCAGGTGAGGAGAAACTTCTTTCCTGTGAGGRTGACAGATCAGTGGAACAGACTGCCCAGGGAGGTTGTGGAGTCTCCTTCTCTGGAGGTCTTCAAAACCCGCCTGGATGCCGCCCTGTGCCACATACTGTAGGTGTCCCTGTTTGAGCAGGAAGGTTGGACTAGATGATCTCTAGAGGTCCCTTCCAACTTTAAATATTCTGTGAAAAGATATTCTGTTAGCATGAGCTTATTATGCTTATTATTCTTGCTCCATCCTTAATACCTTATTAGTATTATTATTCCTTCCGTTAACATCCTAATGGTTTGAGCATATATATATATWTTTTTTGATGGGTCAATCAGGCTACAGTGGGGATATGTAGGTATATATATATGCGTGAGAGTTTTAGGGAAAGAGCAGAGGTGATTCTGTTAAATCTTACTATATACAAACTGGAAATTTAAGTATTTATCTTCCTTTAACAATGAGTTTTCAATATTTAAAAATTCAGCAAATGTTTAAAAATCCAGCAATGTCTGAAAATGCAGTAATGTTATTCTGATTCCTGCAAGAAGCCTGTAGCAATGAGGAGGGGGCAAACAGTCCGTGCACCCTTGGAAGAAAGCGACTCTAGCAATTGTGTCGCCATCTTGAGGCCAGCGGTAACTGCGTTTTACAGCTGGGAAAGCAGAAGTAGCTGCTGATTTTGAACACAGATCATAAGTCTCTGTTTAGGAAAAAGTAAAAAAGAAAAAAGTTATTAAATATAAACTTGTAAAAGATTGATCCATCTGAAACAAATTCTACTGTTTGCACCATCAGTACCAATAACTGAGATCTTAAATTGTAAGGAAAGCACAGGCTGCGTGTAGCTTGGCATGATGTTTATAAACAGTTTGTCCTACAGTGCAGTTTTATGACCTGTGTGATAAGTAACTTTTTCATACTACTGCATTTATAACTTCATATTGAAAAATTTTTATGTGATTTTTGAAAAGTAGTAAAAGTACTAAAATACTGTRGTGGAGATACTATGTTCTTACCAAAAGTACAGAGGTTTTTCAAACATGTGGCTCGCTCCTGGGAGCTAGACTGTTCCCGCTTGCCCCTAAGCAGGACTAGGGGCAAGCCTGGGAGAACATTTCAGTCCGTTTGCTCCAGGGAATTTACTTACATCTTCTTCCCAGTGAATCTGCAGAACAGGCTTTAATGGC